CGGAAAAAAGCACTTTCGTTCCTTCACAAAGCGTGCTCGTTTAGTCGTCCATGTGTGTGGCGGGATATACCCCCGGTACCACAAGATGGTACATGGGTCACACCATTCGAGATGGCCCGGCTCGTAAGATTAAGGCGTGTACATCAAGATTACAAGTTGTACTAGATATTGTAATAGTACCAAATTGGATACTTTACTTGTAACCTTGTCTCTTCGGAGTATATAAGGAGAGACAAGGGTCCCCTAGAGGACAGGTTAATCTATATACATCTCAATACAATACACCAAAGACACAGGACGTAGGGTATTACGTCGACCAGACGGACCGAACCTGTCTAAATCGCTGTCTCTGCGTCTTGTGTCACCATCTGGTTCCTGATTACGCGCACCGTCTACCGACAATCTACCATCATGGACATACCCCTAGATGGACTCCGACCATATTTCGTCGACAGTGGCGCGCCAGGTAGGGAGTGTGCATGCTGATCCATGACGAATCAGATGGGAATTTTCTTCATCAAAGACGTCACGGTAATTCGACTCACGCGGCGGCGTGCTTCGGAGACGAGCCGTGATTCCAGCGCTCCCACGCATCCGTGTGTGTCGCAGCAAGCCACCACCGATGATTCACGGAGTTTAGCGACGACCTCGTGGATCGACAAAGATGTGACGTCGGAGCGAAGTGGCGAGGGCATCATCGTAACAAGGGCATTCGACACCTTACTGTGAGGCCTAGATCCGATCTACAGGATCGTACAACCTGGAATAAAGCAAGTCGTGACCAGCAGAAAGAAAGCAATCAACGTATCATGTATATGCATGTATACATCACGGATGCATGTGCATTCCTTTTATGATCGCCTACGTCTCCGAGATCAGATGACCACTCCGGTTAAATAAGCTAAGTCAAGTCAAGATTTACTATTTAGCAAAATACATATTTTTATATATTATAGTTCCGGCTACATCTACGTGTCTCCCTGTCTACTATGGGCAGGAATCGGATACGGTACCCTTGTCATATGGACGTTTTTCCTTATCGACGACGGAAGAATCGTCCACGGATCATCACGCACATCAAGCGGCACCGCAACACGATTCCGTCCCCGACGGTGGACTCTCATGCGCGGAACAAGAATTAGAAGACGAGTTCATCTAGAGGCTGGCCACGAGTCATGCAAGCTAACGACAACAAGCCAGCAAAGCCGGGTCATCATGCAAGCCAAGCCAATCAATCTGTACATGCCTCACGTACATACGAGAAGACATGCAAGCTAAACCAAGATACGACGATCAACTTGCATATATATGCATCACATGCAAGCTTCACGTACTTGCATCTACGTACATGACCACGCAAGCGGCTACTCGCCCCGATCAAGCTGCGATAAGCAAGCAAGAGTTCCGAGTCCGACGAACATGTAACTCGCACGGCCACCCGACTCTAGTTGAAACCTTCAACATCGCGGCGCCAACCGCCGCGCCAAGCCGGAGCATCTCATCTCATGACCACAAGATCTCCGACGGCGACATCATCGCCGAGATGAGATTCCAAGCCATCGAACAAGCTGTCCGAGCCGTTGGCAAGCCGCAGCAAGCCATCAAGCAAGCCACGCCGAGCCGCGGAGCGAACCACGCCGAGCTCCGACCACGTCGACTACGTCCCGAGAAGCTCCGCCGAGCTCCGACCACCAGACCACGTCCAGAGCGGCTCCGCCGGCCTCCGACCACCAGACCACCAGACCACGTCCAGAGCGGCTCCGCCGAGCTCCGACCACCAGACCACGTCCCGAGCGGCTCCGCCGAGCTCCGACCACCTCGACCACCAGACCATGTCGCAATGACGATCGCCGCAAAGAACGGCGCTACGACAACTGCGACCATCGTCATGACGACAGGTCGGAAAGCTCGAGGACCGGACAACTTCATCACCATCGACCAGATTTCTATCCAAAGATAAGTACACTTCTAATATTTATATTTAACACAATTTTTATTACGACGTTTCTCCACAGCGTCCTCGTCATGATTATTCTTCAAATAACGTTTGTCCATGTATACCATCTTAAAGATAACATACAGCTATACTTAATGCAAATCCTCGACCAATCATGTTGACGCTCGATGTCTCCAGAAAAGGCCCTGTCTCCGGCTCCTCCCTACACGTGCACGAGCGTCTGCCCTCTGCGTTATGGGTGGTCGGCAGCGGCTCCTTAGCGACGCTTTGTTTCTTCCTACACGTGCACGAGCTCCACGCCCCGCGTTATGGTTAACGGGCTAGCTAGGGCTGGAGACTCAGCTACATACTAATTGGTCGGACAGTTTATATTAAGTATAAACACAAACTTCACATTAACACTGATGTTTACAAAGTACCAACTGCTTTATCACATCATGCTTATTTACAAATGACTGTTGAGCGTCATTTTCTCCATAATTTATTATTTTGTACATCATGTACTACCATTCTACATATTTATATTGCAGTAATTTCGAGCTATGCTCGGGGACTTCGTCGCTCGCTCCTTGACCTATGCTCGGGGACTGCCTCGATCACTCTCCGACCACAGCTCGGGGACTTCGTCGCTCGCTTCTCACGCACGGGGACTGCCTCGACCACTCTCCAACCACGGCTCGGGGACTTCGTCGCTCGCTCCTCGACCTGTGCTCGGGGACTGCCTCGACCACTCTCCGACCACGGCTCGAGGACTTTGCGTCTCGACTACATGCGACTGGCGACTCGCATACAGTTGGGATATTTTTTTCTCACTTAGACCTTGCTACAAGGCTCATACCTCGCCTTCCAGCAAGCTCGGGGACTACATCGGTACGATGCACCTGCCGGTGCATCTCGTATCGCCTGTACGACGATTGGATTCTCAACTTAACTGTGAATTCTTTTTAGACCCTAGCACCACGTGCCTACGTCACCTACTACCAGGCTCGGGGACTAAGTGGGCACACTTCACCTTGCGGTGAATGTGCTTGTTTTTCGACCACTACGCCTCTGACGATTAAAGACGCTACGCTTCAAGACACACTTACATTTCTTTTCAGAAATACAAGTGGGCACACTTTCTAGGACGGAAATCTTTTTCTTTCTTCTTAAGAGCACCATACATTCTTCGAACAACCTACTTCTCCGGCGACAACGGTGGTCAGAGACGTCAAGAACTCAAGCCTCACTGTTCGGAGAAGGTTGAAATGACGTGTCGCATCAGAATACATGGTGCTCGGGGACTAGCTATGGGGGATATACCTCCGGGTACCACAAGATGGTACATGGGCCGCACCATCCAAGGTGGCCCGGTCCGTAAGATCAAGGCGTGCACATCAAGATTACAAGTTGTACTAGATATTGTAATAGTACCAAATTGGATACTTTACTTGTAACCTTGTCTCTTCGGAGTATATAAGGAGAGACAAGGGTTCTCTAGAGGACAGGTTAATCTATATACATCTCAATACAATATATCAAAGACACAGGACGTAGGGTATTACGTCGACCAGACCCCCGAACCTGTCTAAATCGCTGTCTTTGCGCCTTGTGTCACCATCTGGTTCCTGATTACGCGCATCATCTACCGACAATCTACCATCATGGGCATACCCCTAGATGGACTGCCGATCATATTTCATCGACAAAGTATATCCAAAAAAGCATAAGCCTAACATCCGTTTTAGTGCCTAATTTGGGTAGGTTTTGAAATCCTTGATCTCCAATAAGGACATTAGTCATCAAAAGTTTAACGCTCGGATGTACTTTCTTTTTAGTTTGTTAGTACCTACTAGAGATAGTTTTATTAAGGGTCCATTCAGCTCAGCTGTGGACCGTGAAAAAAATATTATGAGCTATGGAAAAATTGTTGTGAAAAAGTTGTAGATTGTTTGGTAATATCTATAAAGCCCATCCTCATCTCTTTTATTTCCCTTGAAACAACTATAAAACGTCTCTCTATTTTTACCTATTTGGAAAAACTGAAAGCTAGAAATAGGTCCATTTGGATAAGAATTGATGCTTCTGTCCTAAACAAGAGTCCATTCAACACCTTTTTTCGATTATGTTTACGCTAATTTCTTGTGGCGAGCTGTGCACTTAGTGTTTGGGATACCGAGACCAATAAGCATGTACGATATATTTCATTGCTGGTGTAATTTGGGAAGGACCAAACCAAAATTGTTATTACTAACTGCAGCAGCGTCATTGTTTTGGGCAATATGGCTTACAAGAAACAAAATTGTTTTCGACAAATGCAGACCAAAATCTTTCTTACAGGTATTGTTCGGGGGAATGCACCGGCTTTGGGTGTGGGCATAGTTACAGTGCCATGACGAATGGAGGGATGCACTCATCCATGTTATTAGCCTCCTCGAAGAGTTCGCCTTGTAGTCCTTTTGCGTCAAATTGATGGTTATCTACTATTTGGATTGGTCTTCATTAGTATAAACTTTTGTATGTCGTTTTAAGCTTCGTGTTTGCTTGTAAGAACTTAGTCGGTGTGTTTGGGTGCTGCAACTCTGTAGTAATGGCCTGATTCTATATTATGTAGATGAAGCCGGATATTAACTCTTCTTTATCTAAAAAAAGAGAAATAGGTCCAACGTGCTGTGAAAAATGTACTACACGAAAGCGGTTGCCTATAGAAAAACGACTTCTAGTTCTACGCGCTTGATTGACTTTTTTTTATTTTTGGCAGCAGAAGCATTTTGCAAAAAGCTCAACCAAACAAGAGAGACATTAGTAAACAATCCACTTTTAGAAATAAAAATTTGAGTGAGTATTTTTTAAAAAGAAGAAGTAAAATTGCGAGGAAAGGAAAGAAAGAAGCCCAGGTACACAATTCGAAATACTAAAACGGGCCGAGATCCCATGGGGGCATACATGGGCCAAATTTGGTAACAGACATATTAGCCCATTTGGTTGACTCCAAAAAAACAAACAGACAATTTGGTATCCATTTTCTCCTCTCGAGTCGCCGGCGGGTGTGGACGCGGCGGCGATGCTGCGGTCGGCGCTGCGGCGGGGAGGGGCGGCCGCGAGGCAGATCGCGTTGGCTGGAGAAGCCTCGCCGAGGGACCTCCTCCGGATGCGCGTGGCGGAGCGGGAGCGTGCGAGGCGGCGGCGGCGCGACCCGGGAAGCGACGAGTTCTTCGTGCCCACGCCAGAGTCGCTGGCGTGGCTCGACTCGGTCTCCCTCCCCATGGTGCTCACCGCCGCTGCCGTGGCCCTCTTCACCAAGCTCCTCATGATGGTACTGCTCCGTGTCCTAAGCCTTGTAGCTGTAGCTGGCTTCTCCTAGGGTTGTTTTCTGTTGCAATTGCAAGTACTGTGTATTTCCTTTAATACCTGAACATTATGCGAATCTTTTGTTGAATGCCGTTAAAGGTCATGATGCGAAGTGTAGAATCTTCATATTGTTAGATTTGGGCATGTAGACATGTAACCTATACGAATTTGAAGGTAGTTGTGACAAGTGCTCTCAGATGAGAGAAGTGCTGCTTTAGTCTCTAGTTGTCTATTTGCTTCATAGGTGTATACAATGTTTTCTTCATGGGCCTTGGTAGATTTGTGTTATCCTAAGTATGAGTTTGTACTACTGAATCTGTTTTATATTACATTCAATCAGCATTTCTTCCCTTTCACACGGATCAATTCTACAATTTTTGTTCAGTTTCACATTTTTTACTGTTAGCTGCCTAATGTTTCGTGACAATTTGTGTACACCCTTCTGGTTTATTAAATCATCAAGATTCTAGACTATTGTTTTAAGGCAAGGTTAATTTTGAACTAATGTTTCATGACAATTTGTGTACACCCTTCTGGTTAACTGAATCATCAAGATTCTAGACTATTGTTTTAAGGCAGGGTTAATATTGAGCTTCTGGTCAACTAAATTGAAAAGTGTTCTTTTTTATGTTTGTTAGGATATCAAAATCATGTTATGAATCTTATTTTCTGTTTCTGTGGAAAGGAACATGAAGCTACGGATCAAGAAAGGAGAGAGCGCAAGATAAAGAATAGCCACCCTGATCAAGGAAAAGTAAGGATGCTAACTCGTGAAGAATGGGAGGAGGTCCAAGAAGTCAGGCCAAGGACCCCTTTTGAATCGAAATTAGCTCGTTCACATGCCCGTATAAGAACTGGGGAGCCAGTGCGACTGGTTAGTAGACGTTTCTTATCATCAGTTTCTGAAATGAAGTTTTGCATGGTACTCTTTGATGATTTATGGTATTGTCACCTCTGATATGTTCCATTATTTTATCCACCATTTATCTCAATGCTGAAATTATATGGTTTGCATGTTCTGTTATTCAACAGCTTGTTGCCATGGTACTTCCTACATTTAGATTTAGATATTTCATGGGATCCTCTTCTAATCAAGTTATGTCTTGAAGAACGTCTTACTCTTAGCATGTTTTAGTACCGATATTTGTATCTTTAACCTGTAGGAGGATGCCAAGGATTGGGCTACTGATGTAATCGCAGATTCTTTTACCAGAGCAGAAGAAATTACCAAGCAAAAATGATTCAGAAGAATCTAAAACACCCCGTGTATCTGCTTTATGGTTTCTCTGAATCTGAATGCATCACAGATCAGTGACCCTACGGGTATTACGGCCACCGTGATGGCAGAGTCTGAGAATGAAGCCCTGAGTCCCTTGGTTAGATACATTCGCCCTGTTCGCTTGAACTTATCAGCACTACTTTTCAGCCATAGAATAATGTTTTTCTCTCACAACAAATCAGCATCAACAGAAGCCTTTTTTTCAGCCTTCCAGTCAAAAGTACTCAGTTTTGGACACTATTATTCTCCAATGGATGCATCTGACCACAAGTTTCTATTGAAATATATTTAGTCACTCCATAAGTTGATGAGTTTGTGGAAGTATTTTTCAAAGTATAGTTTATGCACATGGACTTGGCATGTGTCCGAAGTCCAAACTATTGGAAGTATCATTGAATAACCAGAAAATGTCCAAACTGTACGCAGCATATTGCTTAGAACACCTAGCATGCATAGGAAAAAAGAATGCAAGTAGTATCTACCCTAAAGTACGAATTAGTACTTCTGAAAAGTATTGCTCGGCAGCAAAGGAAATTTGACAAGACTGACCACCGATTGAAGATACTATTCACAAATTTATGCACCAATAATACTGAAAAACATAGGGCCCCTTCTGCAGCTACAATTTAGTGCTAAGCATAAATGAACAGGCGGCGATATCTGGATTTTTTTTTGAAACTATTCAAGACTTCTTTTTTTTATAAAAAAATTAATCTATACGGTGATATCTAGAGGAGGAAGTGAGTACTGTGTATGGGAAATGGTAAGGACCTGCAACTCATGTTGTCGAATGTCTGCACAATTTTTGCCACATATACGTAGTATTGGCCATTTCACACCGCAAGAACTAAAATATAATAGGTACGGTTGGTACGGTTATAAACCTATGGATCTTTGCTACAACAGACCACAAAGATTATAATATATTCGCTAATATGAATTTAGGAGAGAGAAGGGGTGTGAATTAACTTTTCGGCCTTTCTTTCATCTTCTTCCTTCTTCCTCCCTGTGATGTGGACGCATCCCTCTTGGTCCTCTCTTTCTCATCGACTACTTACCGTGCCCACCCACCCCTCCTCCCTTCCCTCTTCCTCGTCCTTGTACCACTTGGCCCTTATTTCCCTAATATTCGTCGCCACTAGGTGATTGAAGGACAGAGGATGGTGGCTCTACCTTCTAGATGGAGTGACGGTAGCTCTACCTTCTGAGATAGAGCTAGGCAGCAAGGCGATGAGGCAAAGTTGCACATCCTTGTTGAAAAAGGTGTTCCAGTTATCGAGCGATAGCATGTCTCTAACGCCGGCAAGGTCATAGACCTTCGGCGCGACGCTATGACACTCCTCGACGTCTCCATGTCGAGCTCACCGAGCTCGTGACCTCTAGCTCATCGGACCCCATCCCCAATCTTCTTCTCTCCTCCCCCTCGGGCTCCTTCTCTTCCTTCATGTATTAGGGGTCCTAACCTCCGACGTTGTTGTCCTCCCCCTCGTTGTCATTGCCGTAACTCTTCCTCCCTGTCGTCCTCCATCAAACCTAGGGTGGGAGGATCAGAGGTGGACGAGAGAGAGAGAGAGAGAGAGAGAGAGAGAGAGAGAGAGAGGAATACGTCCATGTCTCCACAAGGAAGGAGATGAAGGTGAGGGCAAAAAAAAGTCAATGCACACCCTTTCTTTATGCTAAAATCATAAAAATAAATATTATAATGGACGTGGTGTGTTGTACACTCTTTATTTCAAATTATAAGTCATTCCAATTTTTTCGAGAGTCAAAGCATCTCAAGTTTGACCAAAATTATAGAGTAAATTACAAAAATTTATGACATCAAATAGGTATACTACAGAAAAATAATTAATGAACAATTTAATGATACTTATTTGGTATAATAAATATTATTATTTGATCAAAATTGAGATGCTTTGACTCTCTAAGAAAGTTGAAATGACTTATATTTTGGGATGATATACCGCCTAATAGTAAAGAGTGAAGGGATAAGGGACTCTTCCAACGATCTTTTTTACTTCCCAAAATGCCCATGTGCCCCTCATATCCCATGTGTGATCCAAATTTACGACCCGTACTCATACGAGTTAGGACGACCCACACTTCTAGTGATGGTAAGAAATCTGATTCCATGATGCATTGGATCTTATTATAGAGCACAAACATGTTTGCTAGTAAGACTAAATTACCACGACGTTGTCAACGGTAAATGAAGGAGTCGATCCAAGGCGTATTGATTCCTGTTGAAAAATAGCAAGCATATGAGCACATTTGCTAGTATGACTAAGGCCCTATTTGGGTTCCATGGTCTAAAGTTTAGTTTGTTAAAGTTAAAGGCTAAACTTTAGACCACTTTAACTCACTTTAGTGGTTTAGTGAACTAATGCCCTTTTTGTGAGTCTGGCTAAATTTTAGGTACAAGTTTAGACCAACTGTTTAAAGTCTTAAGAGTAAAAATGGTCTAAAGTTCGAAGCACTTAACACTGCTACTCTTGACAACCTCGGAAGGAAGGGTTAATGCTCTTCAAGTTCGGTGGGAAAGATGGGGGAGCGTGACTCCGCCCCGACGGGTTCCCCACTGGGAGCCCCCCCGCCACCGTGCCAAGTGACCTCCCCTTCGACCCACGACGAGCCGCCACCCCCAGCCTCCGATGCGTCACCCCAAGATGCCGCCCCACCACCGAACAACACCCCCCTCCCACGACAGCCTTCGTCGACCATGGCGCCGCCATTAAAGGGAGCCGTGTCTAGTCCTCGACCAACCAGGTACGCGCCACGACCCAAGCTCCCAGACCAGGCTCCCTCTTCCAAGACCTCCTCCTCCTTGATTTCCATGCGACCGTCGCCCCTCCCTCTTCGGTTTTCTCCTCCCATCGACGGCAACTATTTGGGTGACCCCCCGCACTCCCGGTGGACCTCAACCGCTTCCAAGTCGAGAACGTTCTGTCCTCCCACTTAGCTGCCCCTTCGGTTAGGATTCTTGCTCGCCTAGTCACCTGATTTCTCTTCATCGCCGACGTCGCGAGCCCCTCCGTTGCTGCCTTCATCTCCATCAATAGCCCGTTCGAGCGGGGCAAGCTCGAGCTCTCCGTGCAGTGCTCCCAAGAACGTGCAGTCTTCGAGGCGGAGCAGCTATGTTAGGCGGCTAAGTGGCGATGTCTGGAGGCCACCTTAACTCTCCCAACCCCCGACGTCTCCGCTGATCACTCGAGTGTTCCTCTGGCAAACTCCGATGTGCCTGCCAGCTCTCACTCCACTCACCCGCCTGGATGCCTACAAGGATGAAAATCTATCAGTGGATATGCTTACGTCATCCAGCTCTCATCCGCTTCCAACCTCTCTCCCTCCTCTGCTCCCCTCTCCTCCCTCCGCCACGCCTCAAGCCATGGCCGACATCGACATGACCGAGGCGGTCATCGAGCCCAGCGCCGCCATTACTCAGCCCTCATCTGCCTCTAAACCCTCCCTCCCTCCTCCTCTGGCCATAATTACTCGCCCCTCATCTACCACTAATTCCTCTCTCCCTCCTCTGCCCTCCTCTCCTCCCCTCGCCACTTCTCCCACCGTCATAGCCGACATCGACTTGACCGGGGCGATCATCGAGCCCAGCGCCGCCATTACTCGGGCTGCCACCTCCTTCGAGGAGGCTCTCCTAACCCCGCCACGCCCCGGCCTTCTTAAACCCCCACCTCCACCTAGATTCCACATCCCTCCCTTCGCTTGCCTTCGCCGCTTCACCTCCGACCACCACATCAAAGATTGCCATGACCCCGTCCGGTGCCGGCGGTGTGGTGCTTCTAGCCACATGGACAACCGCTGTAGCTCGACGTCATGGCCGCCTCATCGCGCCACCCCGTGGCCTGCCTCATGGCGCCCATCCTGCGCACTTCCTATCCTCCCCTCGACCTTTGAGTTCCCCGCTCTCCCCTTCACCCCGCCTCCCTCCACCCCCTCATCTCCATCTCCTCCTTCTCGCCCTTCGCCTTCTAACCCTTCATCTGCTCCCCCAACTCCGTTCTTCCACCGTTGATCACACCCACACCTGTCTCCCGCCTCGAGCTTCACGTGATCCACGTCTCTGGATCTCCCACCCAGCCCACAGCCCCGGTTGACCTCTACGTGCCGTCGGCTGATCGCTCTGCCCTCCCTGCTCCTTCCCCAGCTCGCCATGTGGGCACCAACACTTCTGGGGGGCGCGACGACTCCGACGAGTATGCCAACTTCGCGCTCCCCTCTAGCAATGTCCCCAGCGAGTTCGAGGAGGAGGTCGACTCTAACGGCTCGCTCTTTCACACCGCGTCGTTGGACACCCCCGCCGGGCAATGACAAGCTGCTTTGGATGCCGAAGGGGGACATGGAGAGGGTGCGGAGGACTTCCTTCGTGTTCATCAATGATGATGGCCCCATCGCCACCACTGCTTCCTACATCCACTCCGTCTTCTTTGTCGTCGCTCCCAACATCCACTGCTGGCTCATCCCCTCCTCTTGCGGCCACATGCTCCTCAAGTTTGACTCCAAGGCCGATTGGGATGGGTGGCCAACCTCAACCCCATCATCCATGATGGCGCCAGGCTCACCATCGAGTGCGCCGAGGAGTCATGTAATCGCTTCATCCTCGACCAACCCTGGCTGGTGGCCATCTCCACGACTGAGTTCCCGGGTGAGCACGGCACCCAAAGGGCATCAAGGTCAGCTTCTGGAAGATCAGGACCGTCGTGGAGATCGACCCCGAGTGCCTCCTCGACGACGACTACTCCGCGCTGCGCGTGGTGGTCGCAGGGTCAAGCCAGACGGCATCGTCGAGGACCAGTGGATCGAGAACCCCGGCTGGGGGCCACAGGGGCACGTCCTCGTCTCCTCCTTCACCGTCTCTATCCTCTGGGTCTAGCCCCAGGCGGAACAACTTGATGAGATGGGCAACCTCCACCCGTTCTTCCCGCGCCCGCTTGGTCCGCCAAATGACAGCAACGCTCCGCTCGGCTACCAGGGCCCACCCATCGCCTTCGGGCCCATCCTCCACGGCGCTGTTGTTGAGCCTCCAGGACTGCTTGGTGGGGCCCCAGGCTTCTTCCTGGGCTTCGGCTACTACTAACATGGGTTTGTACTCCACCTCCATCTCCCTATTCCTTCCCGCGCTCCTCTTCTCACCCTTTCCTCCGCCACCGCTGACAGACTACTCGGTGCAGCTGCTCCACCTCTCCTCGCCCTGCCCTGGTATGAGGATGATGATGTCCCTGCTCCACCATTGCCATCACCGGCTGACAGCGACAAACCTTTAGCTAGGCGTGGCTGGGGACGCCGCCCTCACCCAGCGCCCCCCAGCGCAGCAGTGCCTGCCTTGTCGAGAAGGAGCTCGAGACCTTTGTTCCGGTAGCAGCCAAGGCCACCCACCTCAAGGCGCTCCATGAGGGCCTAGTTTCTTGCTCCACTGCGCTCAAGAAGCAAGTCAAGGGGCGCAGGCTGCTGAAGCGCAGGACCCCCCTCGGCGCTTAACATCAAGCGCCTTGCCAAAGTTGCTGACGTCATCTGTTTCGGTGCCCAGGCGGTGGACGTGGTCGAGAGGAGCATCACCATCACTCCATGATAGGGCTCCTCTAGGAGCCCTGATGGCCTTGGCTTTTGTGGATCAC